CCCTAAGTAAATATAAAGACTGGTCCTTAAATGAACAGATCTAAGGCCCTGATATTCACTCTGCGTGATTTAACTAGTTTGTTTGTTTGTTTTTTTTTTTTTCCTCAATGATTATTAGATCCTTCACCTTTGAGTTCACCTTTGAAAGCAGACAGAAAGAGATCGCATAAACTTCAGGAATATCGTTTGAAAGGACCCATGTCGAGCGCAGACCTGGACTATAAAGAACGATAGCAGTACTGTCAGGGCTCGCCATGGACTGAGGTAAATATTCTTCAATCGATAAACACGATTGCAAAAGCTTTGACACCTAAAAAGCGTTTACATTGAACGATGAGACCCTACGGTTTTAGGGGTCACGTGTACATAATAACCACCATTAGTTGCACGCAATGAATGATGGGAGCTATCGAAACTTTCCTGACAGAAAATAATTAGCATTGGAAAAGATTTGTCATGAATAATGAGAGAAGTGAATCACTGGTTACGTTTGTGTGCGAACATTTCCCATGACGCTGGCTGTTGGGTCTCGTCGTTCATTGATCATGCTTTTTAAGGGGTTAACGTTTTTGCAATCGAGTGTATGCACTCGATTGGGAAAAATTTGACCTATAAAACGCATTTTAACTAAGAGCGATGAGGCCTAATGGCATTGTGGGAAACCACCATTAGTTGTGTGGGATGAATGACGGAAGTAACATAAGCTTTCCTGAAAGCAATCAGTAGGAAAAAGATTTGCCTTGAATAACGAGAAAAAGGAAAATACTTATGTAAATGTCCGAACACTTCCTGAAAGTCGTTACGTTTCTCGTTTAAGGTTCACGCGTTTTTAAATGTCAACAGAAATTATTGAGTTCCGAAAGTAACCGAGATTTCGTTGGCTAAGTTTTTTATAATTTGAAAATTTTATTTTTCAGGTTCCTCAAAACCAGTGTTGATCACTACACCACCACTCGACCGATTGTGGGATATCTATATTTAAGATTGCAATATGATATAAATAGTCAATAGACTGTAAAAACGTATTGTGCTGTACGTATTTTTATTTATATGACGACACTGATCTTACGTGTATTCCTTCATCCAAAACACAAACAAATGAAACAGTTAAACCCCTTAGATAAAAATTAACGAAAACAAATTTAATATATTGTAGCTGCAAAGTTTGTAGTCGTCTTTTAAATTCAGTGGTTGATTTTTTTCACACTGAGATACACTATGATATTCTCGTGTGTGGTTTTACTGTTAATTGTTAAGATATAAAGTTAAATCCAGTCAGCACTTAATGATATCAGTGAAAATTAGTTTGAAGTTTACGCCTAACGTGAACGGCTAAAATTATCTCAGATTTCCTTAATTTACATCTCATCCATAAATGAATCCCGTAGATGGAGGGGAAAATATCTGTTAAAAAATGTTATGCTTATCCCCTCTGATAAAAAAAAACAACAACAACAACACTTGCACGATGTAGTCACTTCCTTCCATCGCAATGTTTCACGATTCAACTAAATACTGCTTGTCTTCTTTAAGGGTTGAGGTAGATTGGTTACCGTTCACCGCGTGGAGCACTGTGATTGGGTTATTTTCAACAGCTGTGATTAGACGTGAGAGAGTATGTCATCGAAATGCACCATTCATAGCTGTGGAAGACCAACAAATCCCAGCGGAGTATACTGCTTCATAAGATTACGTATAACCAGTCTTCCTCCACGCCTAAAGAAAAATAACGGTGAGCAGTTGAAACGCCATGATGCGCGAGACAAACGTTAATAATTCATCGTTGAAATATCTCCTGATCACATTACGTACAAAAGTTCAAGTTGAAGTTGTTCAAATAGTCATCTTTTGTAGATGCTTCCATCAAAATTTTCTATTGTTAAATGAGAACTCTTTCCAGCCTCAGCCCTCTTAGTCCCTTCTCTGATTAGCAGTCCCTTCATCAGTCTTCTCTCTTCACGGTGTTTCTGTGCTAAAGCTGTGCGCCGCTGACTTACGGTCTTGCGAAATTCCTCAACAAGAACGCTCATTTCTTTACGAAGCTCGTTTCTATGCAGAAGCCTTTTCGTGCTTCCTTCTGCAAAAGAAAAAGGCAGCTTATTTTGTCTACTTCACTTGGTTCCTACCACAGTTTTGACAGTGTTCCTTCAATGGTTATAGTAAACGAATTCTCACCTATCGCGCGTCAAATTATAGCGGAGCTTGCAGCGCTCCCACAGCGGAGCCCTGTACCTTTGAAAAATGGTGATACTGATATGTGCTTTCCCAATTCAAGAAGTTACTACAGCCACACCAAGTCCTCCTAAAAATACCCGTGATTTTAGCTTTATACGGCGGTGGTGAAAGCAATTTCGATTGATCTTGCTGCAAAGTTTCCTTTTCCATTGACTTTTTTAAAGTATATGGTGTATAAAAATCATGGTTAAGTTCGATATTTCTCATAAAATAGTAATGAAAACCCTATTAACTGAGTTTGAGGTCTGTACTATAAGGTTACGAAAAGGGTCTTTTTCGCCCGGATTTATGACCTTAGAGCGAAGAACTCGGACCAAAATCCCAGCAATGCACGCGAGATTCCGTAACTTACAGTACGTGAAAACGAGGCAAGGGAGATATTTATTGTCTTGGGTTTAAAAGATTTTTAGACGGTGAGGATTTTAATTTAAACGAACTCTCGAATTTAGCCGGCTTTTAGTGAAATGCAGTCGGAGCGATCATGGTGCACGTAATTAACTGAGGTATATGACAATACAAAAGAAGTTATTCTAAGGGAAAAGCCATCAACCGTTAGGATACACCCTCCTGGTTCTTCTGCGCATGAGACATTCATATAGCATCCCAAAAACCATAGCGGCCGCTGTAATGGGTGCCAGGGCTAACAAAGCTATTTTAAATGTTCCTTCAGAAGTAGTCAGCAGACCTGAGCTTTTCTCTTCAGCCACAGAGGAAGTCGTGCTCTGAACAGGAAACAAGACA